GCAGTGTTTCTCCCTCCGGTGTCCCGGGCGCCTCCCCGCCTAGGCGTGTGCTAGGCAGGGGTCGGCGGATTATTGAGGACGCTGTCAGGCCCCCCGTAATTTTTTTTTAACCTTTGTATACAGCAACAAGATAGTAATGTTCACAATTCTTTTTTGGGGCTGATCCTACTAAAGCAGTCTAGCAAAGTGTACGGAAGTAGAATTTGGACCGACAAAAAAACGCAAGGGACGCTGTCTCTCTAAGAAAGATAAGAAATCCCTAATACAACACCCATAAGGTGTAGCAAACTAGGAGCACTTGGCAAAGGCTGGGACGGGGGGGGTCGGCAAAAAAAGGGAACTGGTCGACCCGTTCCTCCAGACTCGGAGCCTGTGGAAAAGGCTGGGAGGGAGGGTTGACCAAAAAGTAAAAAACGGGCGCGGCGAAAGTATTAAAAAGCACAGAGAAGAAACAGTTCAGAGAGTCGCGGAATCAAGCTGTTTCCCAGTTTTGACGTTCATCTATGAAATATGAAAGGTTGATACACCCGTCCTGATTAGATTAGATTCAAAGTTGACCTGCGGGCGCGAATGCTATGATTGACAGGTAAGGTCATGTCTTTGGCGGCTAGCCTCAGGTATATTTCAAGGCGTTCCCTGAGGGAGTGGTTGGACGGGTCGAGTACGAACCTCTCCTGCCTAGCTCCTAGTCCAGGTCCTTGTTCTTGCCTGTAGTTCGGCGAGTTACAGGATAAGCTAGTTTTTTGGTGGATTACGAGAGGGTCGAGTACAAACCCTTCTCGTCAAAATATTTTTTTAAAGGATTTTGACCTTCCACTTTGAAGCTGGCGGGTCGTGCGTTTAAATTGACCCAGTGTTTTTCAAGTGAGTGGTGAATCTTTTGTTTTTTTGATGTCTTCTTGTTCTTTTCTCAAGATGCGGGAGGCTGGTACGTCCAGGACCCGGTTATGCTGCGCAGCTGCCCGCATTCTGATTCGTTCATTCTCATGGCAGTAAACCGTCGGGTGAATGCAGCGCGTGCAGCCATTCAGTTTTGGGTCGCAGATGCAAGGGACAATTGATGGTATATAGCCTCTTACTAATGTTGCGATTGCTTCGGCCCTTTGGACCTGTCGGGAAAGCTCGAAGATTCGTTTCCGATCGTTGTGCGAGCAGTTGGCTTATAAAACCTACTTTAAACTGCAGCATGCTAGTATTACAGTATAGTGTGTTAAGATTGATGCTTTCACCATCAAGGCTGAAGATGAAAAGAGCTCAAGGGAGTGTTTTTTTTTATTATTAAGATTGGAGGCTGGAGTGTGAGCAAGTATGTGGATATTGAATAACCTAATGAACTTTACCAAGTTGTAGAAAATAGAGCGGTAGAAATACCAACATCTGAAGATAGAGAAATTCACAATGATGAGTATGATGTTGATACTGATGATATTGCTAGTAAGATTGAGAAAGTGAACCAGGTAATGATTAGGACATTACTTGCAGGAGCAAGCAAACGTCATATCTGCCAGAAAATGGTTGATCATGGTTACACAATATTATTTGTATGCCCTACTAATAGGTTATCACACCAATTTGGCAGTGATGCCATACCAAAAAACAAATTTGTTGGCAACAATTTTGGCAACTGAGTGTTTATTGGACGGCCAAATAGTTTGTTGAGCAACATGTGTTTTGCAACACGTGATGCCAGACAACTAAAATCAGTTCATGAGATGGCAATTGCACAAGATTATGAAACAACATACCACTGATTGACAATATGTTTGAGGATAAAATATGACTGAAAGTATAGAAGGGAATGAACACAGAAGAGCATGAACAAAAGCTCAACAAAATCAATAACTATATACTTGTAATTTCCAAAAACTAAACTAATTGAGAATCGAGGAATACTTTAGATATACTAATGATATTACGTCGTCAACATACAACATAGCATATTTGAATAAGACGTATAATGACCTATAAACAATTAAATAAATCTTATGTTTGGGTTTAAAACCGCAAGAAAAAACATGTATTTTGGGGGGCCTGGTGGCGTCCGACTCTCAAAACAACACATACATATATATATATATACAAATTGTTCGGGTCCAGTCGGCAGCACAGAGCCGCGTCAAAGCATGGTCTTCAAGTCACTTATTATGAACGCAATGGCAACTTCAAGGTGTCCCGAGTCACCGCACATGTACCTTGTGGTGTGTGGAAGCATACGCGCAGATACATACATACATATCCACAGGGTTCCCTGATCAGCGCCTGCCCAGATATGTAATTATGCATTGTGGGTGGTCGACTCACTTGCAGGGCTCGATTCAACTGTGTGGGCAGGAGTGGAAATCCATTCGTGGAGAGAAAGGGCTCACTGGAGTTGATCATGCTGGGCATCTAACAGGCCGCTTCTGGCGGCAGGTTGGTGAAAAATAAAGGTTTTGCGGCGGAGTCATCAAACTTCTGTTCGGAATTCCTGATCATGCCTCACCCGACTGTTGAGGGACGAAATCCTCCACAAGACAATCTATTATGGCTGCCAAGGGCATATTCAACCCAGACCACTGAATGGAAACGGATCATCCGCGGCTGGAATGAGGACCAGATGCGATGATGAAGTTCCTGTCCAACCAGACAAGTGGGGCACTCCGCATGCCTAAGTGGCAACCACAGTATATACATGAAGATTCTATAACTTTCTCGGTCGTTTTAACACATGTTTAGGAGGTGTTGTGGCCTAAGAACAGGGGGCCCCTTGTAAAGCTCAGACGTGTGGCAACAAGAAAAAAACAAAGTGGATTAATGACGCTGCTTGCCTATCAGGTTTTGCTTGCGGCTTAGCCTCTGCCGTGACCCTTCTGAGCTGAGGACAGGGACCTCAAAGTGGCCGGTGCCAAAAAGTAAGGGCGGACCAAAGAAGCACATCTGGCCACGTATGTGAATGTTAGCGCGCCAGAGTTGGTGTTGTTCGCATTCAGTTGCGAAGCAAAGGCAGACTGTCGAGATTTTGTGTGGTTCTGCAGCCGTTCTTGTCCTCCCAGCTTTGACCATCCGAGAATGATTCAACCGTGTGACGCCGAGTGGGAAGCTACTCGGTCCTTGCATGGTTTGGAGGAGGCTTCGACTGGCCGAAACCAGCACTCTTTGAGTCAGAAGGGGTCTATGGCAGATGCCAGGCAGGCGGTAAGCATTGTTGTTGGCTGGAGATTTGTCCCCAAATTTGGAAGATTTATGCCGGGCGCATAGAGTATCTCTCTCTCTCTCTCTCTCTGGTTCGGGGATTGCGTCGGAACACGCAAAGTCACGAGAGAGTGACAATTGCAACCCCCCTTCGGACCAAGACCTTATTTTTTTCCGATGTCTTCAGCTTTGCACACTACAAAACTTGCCAGAGTGTATTTTTGCTCAAGGTTGGTCACCTCATTTTTTGGATGTACGTGGTTTTGCACTGTTATACCCTTTTGTAGAGCAGACCTGTTTCTTCTATAGGATGCTTCGTTATCGTAACCCCTTCAATTTTTTTTACCCAGTGGGAATACTGCATTCTTGTGATTCATTTGGCAGCACGCCCACTCACAGAATTCCAGCTTCCGAAATGAAGGCTGCAGCCACGACATTAGCTTGCCAAAAATAATGATGGCCACCTGTCGATGTGTGCTATAGTAAAATTGTTGGTCAAATACACGTCGCCACAACGTGTCTTTCCAGTGGCAGCATTTGGCTAGGCCAGAACCCACTGCCACAGTCCACCGGAATGCCAAGCACCGTGCGCCACTACGGGCGGCATCCAGCCTGGCGCCGCGCTCGCTGCGCTCGCGCTCACGCTCGCGCTGGTCGGATTCGCCTAGCGTGGCGTCCACATGGCGGAATTCGCCTGCCGAGGGCCAACAGGTTCCATTTCTTTTCGGAGTGATTCGCAAGAGTGGACCAACTGATTCAACCACCTAGAGCCCCAAATGTCCAAATCCACCAGCGGCTTTGGATGCATGAGCAGCATAACTTTGAGAGGCATAGCAGATTCTAAAATTCTAAAGATTTCCCTGTATCCAGCAAAGGTGGGGGTGGAACACCACCTGATAGCCAAGTCTTCCCAGGGGCCATTTTCTATTTTCTACTATATAAGTTGGACTCCGGGTACACTGTTGTGACCCAACGTACGAAAAGAACAACTTGCAAATCGATGGTCTTGATGGTCATGTTTCTTGAAACTCGACCTGACTGACCCTGGAGGTTCCAGAGGCTGCGGAGTTGGTAGCACCAAGGTCACCAAGGCCTCCTCCCACAGGAGCAGGCCCAGATGGGAAGAGACGCCAG